AAAAAATTGCGACAGCGCACAGTGGACCAAAATCATTATTAGCTGGACAAAATTAATAACTTTTAAAATATTTATCAGGTTTTTTCCATAATTAGCAGCTTGAGTATATTTCATATAACAAATCTAATAGCACCATTAGATTGTTTATTTGGTTGCCATGGATACCTATATTTCATGTCAACAGGCATTTTGCATAGTTACCTAAATAAAAAGACTTTCTCAAAATATCAAAGTTATAAACTAAACTGATATTAATGCGACATTGCTATTTTATGTATTTGAATGATAACACAAACAAAAAATTATCAATTTTTGGTGTTACTATGCTGTTATGTGCTCTTAGAAACCAGTTGGTAATTTTTTTTGAAACTTTTTCTTAATTCAAAATTTCTTTAAAAAATGAAATAAAAACTTTTAAAACACTCTTAACTATAAAGGTTTACAGGAACAGTTAACTAAATTTTAACTGTGTAGTTTAGATACCCTTAGCAACCATATAAAAATAAGCAAGTTTTTATGCAATTAGAGATACAAAAAGTTTTATAACGAATATATAAGAAAACAAACTTTTATATTCATTATTTTATTATGTAAATATTAAATACTTATAAAGTAAACACCATCTTAAACACCAACGAAAATCAAAACTATGTCATTGACACTTAGTCAAAAATTGGAACCTCTTTAAGAAGATCAAAAACTCCATTTGGAAGAGCGTTTTTCTTAGGATGATGGGGTTTTCTCAAACTACTTATCAAAGGGTCAGAAGAACACATTAGTCGCCTTAATAAATCTTCGTTTGTTTTGGAACGCGAACACTTTCTAGAAAATGATTCTCGAAATTTCTTAAAATTTTTATTTTGAGCTTCTTGTGCCTCTTCGCTGAGCATGCCAATAGGTAAAGCCATTCTCTCTACAACTTGCCAACCATGAATAAGAATGTGATGCAGACTCTGTGGCATATGATACCATGGATAAAGGATTACATACTTCTCAGCTGTTTTGTAGCAGTATTCTCTAAATAGTGAAGAATCAATTAGAAAGTTAGATGACAATGTACACAAAATCACATGCAACATCTTTATCATACTGACATCAAGTTCAAGAATTTGAGCAGACTTCTCTGCATTCTGAAAAAATTTTCTAGCAGTGTTTCCATTATTTGAAGACCCAGAGCCACCAGATGTTGGCATATCAATTATCAGTCCAACTTCATCACAAAACCTTATCTGGATTTTCTGTTTTCGTTCTTGAATAATTTTCTTTTCAGATATAGTTCTTGTAGCCCACTTTTTCACTGTCAATTTATAACTAATTTTAAGAAGACATTCCATGCTTTTAATCCAAGCATGGAGAGTTGAAAGACCGAAGCAGAGACCTATCTTTGTCAATGTCATATTTTTAGCTGCATTAAGATCATTCATTTTTTTTGGGCTGCACCCACAAACAGAACAACACTGAGAAGATGTAGTTGCTGTAGATAATGCTGTCGCAACTTTGCCGTCCACCATCGTTATTTCAATTTTATGAAGTATTGTTAAGTTTTCACAAAATGTTAAAGACAAATTTGCAATTGAATTGTTAATAAACTGATTCTCTTGTTTCAAAACTTCAATGGTTTCTTTTTTAAATGAAAATCTTATTGGTCTGCAATATAAAGTTGAAGATGGATGTGGATTAGACCAAATTATTATTTTTTTATCATTAATGAATTCAAACAACTGAAGTGGAACAAAACAAGAAATAAACAAACTAGCTTCTTCTAAAAGATTTCTGTTTTCTTTCTCAACTGTTACTTGATTATAAATCCTTTGGCTAGTTGACCCATCAAACCCAACTTTAGAATATAAAGTCAACCTTTCAAGATCATTCATTGAATCAATAACTTGTTTCTGCAACTGTATTAGGCGTATTGCTGTATGATCGACTAATGCTTGAAAGTTTATTTCTGCTAAAAAATCATTTACAGTCCATAATGTTTTTTCAGGAAGACACTGTTCTTTAGCAGCACGAACATCATTGTAAGCAGGATAGAGATTACAACCTTTGCTCATAGCATTATTTCTCAAGCGTTGGTAATCAGATTTGCTCATATCAATATCTAATATGAGTGCTAGAGCTTCATTTAGAGTGTTTTGAGTATGTTCTGTATCAAAAGGTTGCTTAATAGATAAACTTCGAACTACTTTTGCATCCTTTCTTCTGCTATCTTTAAAAAGATTACAACTACTAGCATACAACAGTTCATTTGATGAACAAGTTAATAAGTCCATAGCTGCTACTTTACGACTCTTTGTCTTATTTGATGAATCATCAAATAATTTTACAGGTCGACCACTAACTATAGATTCAGTTTTATTATCCTGATTTTTAAATGACTTAATAAAGTCTTTTTGAAGCCATACTGAATTATGTTTCATAAAGTTTTCATCAATTCTTTTACTTAAAGACCAACGTTTACGATACTTGGACAAAAAGGTTACAAACTGAGCATCAAATTCAGAACAGTATTCACGAATAAAATTGTAAACATAAAGTTTAACTTTTTCATTAGACATAGATAAACCATGCTGTCTTATGAATTGATGAATTTGATATCTTGTGATGGTTGACATATTACTAATAATAATATTATTAGACTAAAATTATATAAACATTAAAAAGTTGTATTATATATATATATATATATATATATATATATATATATATATATATATATATATATATATATATATATGTATATATATATATATATATATATATATATATAAATATATATATATATATATATATATATATATATATATATATATATATATATATATATATATATACATATATATATATAAATACTTGTTATTTTGCGACAAAAGAAACTTGAAAAAGAAACATCTTTGATTTTATAAAGTATAAGTATTAAAAAGTATTATAAGTATTAAAAAAAGTAGCAGATACTAGCAGCTAAATTAATAATTTTATAAAAACATATACATATAGCCTTCAAAATATGTATAAGAGATAAAGGCAAAATAGAGCACAAATTTTTCCTTTTTGTCTTTTCAAAAAAAATTAAAAAAAAAGT